TCATATTATAGGCATCTATTGTCATGCATAGTTCAAATTGTAACATGTTGTCACAGTTCAATTGGTCCTAGTTGTAGCTGTCTTGGCTGACCTCTTATTATTTTGTAGTTGGCTCTGATGAGTACCTACAACAGCTACTACAGGTCTTCTTTCAACTTTGTGGCATATGCCTACGTCGACGGAGGCGAAGGGAGCACCAACCAGGTAAGATTCCAAACACATCCATGATCATTGCAAACACATGCATATATCTAACCATTCATGATGATTGCAAACACACATGTATATCTAATGATTTCAAACATTTGACTTTGTAGGGATATCTACCTAATCCAACACCACTTGAGGAGAAGGTATATGATGTGGACATGCTCAACCGCGAACTCATAGAGTCTCATGGAAGTACAAACAAGGCCCTAGAGGAGGTGAATACCTTGCTGATGGCGGAGAGGGGTTAGTTGATCGACGAGAAGGCTGATCTCTTCAGCAAGATGCTTAGGCTGAGGGACTAGAGAGATCAGTTGAGCGAGGAGAGGGATAAGCTGAAGAATGAGAGAAATATCCTCATGGCCGAGAGGAATGAGCTCAAGATGGAGAAAGCTAATTTCAAAAAAAAGGGAGAGAACTATAGGCACAAGCTTCGACAAATGAAGTTAATCCTTGAGCAAGAGATGTGGTCAACTAACCTAGGCTAGTTATGGATGATGTAGTTTGGTTGTTGAACAGTTTGTGAAGTTGAACTAGTTTAGTTCTTGAACTACTAACTTTTGTGAATTTGAACCAGTTAAGTTTATGAGTACCTATCTAGTTTGTGGAGTGGGATTAGTTGATGCAGTAGTATATCTTAAATTAGTTGATATTTTACATAGTTGCATATAATTACAATTTTTAATAAGAAAGATAATCAATTTGTTGGCATTGGGCCAACAAGGCATGCCATGGGTAACATACACTTAGTGTTGGCGTCGGCCACGTGACACGCTATCAGCATCTAAAATACCGCTGACGTGGGCTCCAATGCCACCAGTAAATTTTATCACTCGCGCCATATTGATGGCATTGGAACCCCACGCCAACGAGGACAATTTTGCCACACCATAGCTAGGCTTTTCTACACTAGTGACCACTTTTCTCTCTTGCCTCCTCCGCCGCTCCATTACCTCGATCACCCATCCACACCCTTGCCGGAACTAGACAATTCTGTCTCCTCCGATGCTACACCCAGGCTCCAAGATGCTTCTCCTCCACCATTCCATACCTCTCCTCCGTCTGCCGCACAGGTACCATCCTCCCTTATGGTACTGACCATGCCTGACAACTGTTCGATGAAATGTCTGTGCTACATTTTTTGTCCCTTCTTCTTTGAAGCAATGGATTCAGATATGGAGTACATATATGATCACTTTGTGGAGTCGTCTGACGAGGAGGATTACACAGATGAGACAGGATGATGCAGGCGGTCCCTGTAGACGCTGAGCATGCGAAAAAACATGTTCTCAATTTCAAGGGATCGATCAAGAGTCATCGAGTGCTCAACCGCAATAGAGCGCGCGACAAGCTGACGCCGATGGACGACTACTTTGCCCGAGTCTCACAATGACATCAGCAGCGATCACCATTGTTTGCCAGGATGATTGAAGGGAAAGTTCATCCTTGCCACTATACTGTTAATGGGCATGAATACAACATGAGCTACTATCTGGTTGACGGTATCTATTCTCCGTGGGCTACCTTTGTCAAGACCATCTCTGACCTAGTTGGCCATAAAAAGTCTCACTTCGCTAAAAACAAGAAGCAACAGGAAAGGATGTTGAGAGGGCATTTGGAATTCTGCATGTACGTTTTGCTCTTGTTCATAGACCTGCTAACCAGTGGCATCCGGAGACCTTGTGGGGCGTGATGATATGTTGTGTGATCATGCACAACATGATTGTCGAGGATGAGGGTGAGGATGTTGTCGTAGGTCTTGAATTTGAGACCACACATGATTCTATCGAACTTCCACACCAGAATCCGATCACTTTTGATGAGTTTGTTCAAGTGCATCAATAAATTCGGCATCGAGCAACTCATGAGCGACGGAAGGAAGATCTGATTGAACATCTTTGGGTGATTAAAGGTAATAACATTGTTGGAGTGTAATATTTAAATTAGAACTAGTGCTGCATTTGATTTTTTTTATAGCTAAACTCGAACTAGATATGCTGCTATTTTAAGTGTGCGGATGTATGTAATCTTAAAAATAAAATAAAAACAGATGTATGCGGTTAGCTTTGGATGACCGGCTCCGCATCTATGTCCGTGAAATAATTTCTTTATCCGCGAACAGATGCAGTATCCAATTTATGGGCACATTGAAACACCGCTTGCACCGTGGAGGCCGTCATCCACCAGTACAACGCAAAGGAACGTTCCTATCATCTTCTACAAGTTTTTTTTTCTGCTAATTAACTGGACATAGTTATTTTTAGTCCGGTAAAACTTTTGCCTCCCTTTGAATGATAAAAATTGAATCGGAAAGTAAAGCTGCACCCGTTTGGCATTTTGCTAGGCCCCGAAGGTTTGCTTGAAGACCACGAACCTTCACCTACGAACTCTGTGTCTCCGTACAGGCTAACGGCACCCCATTCCGTCCGTCGTTGCCCTCCGTCCCGAGGAAAAGCAAATCAAAGCTGCAGCGCTCACGTAAGTCGCCACCTCAGCGCACCACCCTCCCGTCCCTTGCCTTCCCCTCCTCCGCCCGGCCGCCTGCAAAACCCTCGCCTCGCTTGAAGAGGAGAGGCGCCCGCCGCCTGCCCACCCAGCCACCTCCGCTCCATCACCAAACGGAGAGCAGAGCAAGGAGAACCAGAGACCGATGGCGGACGAGGCGATGGTCTGGGAGGACACCGGCGACCGGTCGGCCCACCGCGTCGGGGTCGGCGCCACCGGCGGGCCCTTCCACGTGCGGCTCCCGCTGGACGCGGTCCGGCGCTACGTCGGCGAGCGCGACGGCCGGCTGCCGGACCTGGCCGCGCTGGAGCTGCGCTGCGCCTACTGCCTCGGCATCGGCGTCGTCGCGCCGACTGGGCAGCCGGACGCGGCCGCGTGCCCCTTCTGCCGCGGCGCGCGGCTGTGGCGGCTACCGTGGAGAGGCCACGCCTCGTCCGACGGGAAGATACAGGTACGTGCGTGCGCGTCGTCCATCTATCTTCATGCATGGTGTATACGGACGTCTCCATAGATCTGTACATTGCGCGCAAGAGAGACGAGACTCGATGGATTGGCTTGCTAGTGTGGTACTACGTGAGTATATGCACTCGATCTCCGCCATAATTCGCACAGGAAGTTGTTCAAAACAGTTGAATCTTTGAGCAAACGCATATGCCGAGATAAAAATTGTTCCTTTAGCGAGATAAAGAAAGGGCAACTCGTCCTTTCCGTTCGGAAACCATAGTTTTTGGGACAGTGCCAGATCTATGTTTATGATTGTTTTTGAAAAAAATAAATTTGTTTTACTTTGGGAAATTGTGAAGAAAAGAGAGCACACACACTATCTGGGTCTACCGGTACACTGCGCTTCGCCTCCCCACCTGGCCCAACTTACCACCTGGGCTGTGGGCCTTAGCCTGGTTACATTCCATTTCAGTATCAGTCTGAATCCACCCCATTTATCTCGGCCCCTACACTTCCCTCAAAAAAAAAAATCTCGGCCCCTACACCTAAAAAAAAAATCTCGGCCCCTGAGCAGGGGAAGCACCTGCTCATGCGCCATTGCGCCGCACCAACGCTCGCCGGCGGCCGGCAGATCGTAGGCAGTATCTTTCACTTTTGTTTATCTAAATTATTACTAATACTATTCCTTGTTGTAGTTTTTGTAAATTACTATTATTCGGTTTGCAATCTGACTAGATTATCAAATACGCCACCTATTACTTTATTTATCTGTACTGAGATTTACACCTTGCTCTGTATTTTCTCTAGATAGATTGACATGCTACCTACCGTTACAAGAAACAGTTTGTATTGCGCATCTGTATGCATTACATCTTGCAGTTAAAGTATTGAGTACTATGAATACTGATCAGGAAATCATGTGCCCACCATTGCATTTCAGGTGCCGAACGATCTTGCCGAATGCGCCGGCCTCCATGAGGATACACTTGTCCGTCTCCGCATTTACAACAAACTTCCCACGGCAGATTTTGTTGCGATCAAGACCAATGACCTGGTGCCGGTGTGCACCTCAGCACATCTTGCCAATCAGGTATGCTAACCAGCACCCCCTTTGATCATGTGCAAACAGAGCAACTTTCATATGCAAAACAGAGTCTACATGGACAATTTGGGCAAGATAGTCTGCATATATCCTTAGTCTACATTGTCTTTATGGAGGATATAGCAATGGTCACTGGAAATTGCAGGATATGCGCATGAATTTGATTAATTTTTTCTTAATGAAAACGGCTAAGGATATATGCAGGACTTTGAGTTGAAGAAGCCAAGTGAGTAGGGTGCAGCCTTCAGGGTTGAGGCGTAAGGACCAACATTAGAGAAACATGTTAGTTAGTGTTCATCTAAAACAGAGCTGTAGGTGCTACTAGTTTTTATCTTGCTTCAGAAAGTTAGTTGCTCCAAGCTAAGCTGCCATGTAGCACATTCACAACTTTCCCAAAGCTGTTATTCGTTTCCTTGCATCTAGATCAATATTAATCGCACCGCTGGATGAAGCTAGCATGTCACACGGTATGTTCTGAAATACAAAATCCTGAACACTATTCCTACACATAGCAGTTTCTACAGTACATTGAGTGCATCGAACCAATTCACTCCGTTGATAAAGTAAACAATCCAGAATGTCGTTAACGTAGATGTGCATAATAGAGGAAAACTTGCATATCATTTCTTGGGTGATTCAAATGGTATGCTCAAGTTTTAGAGTCTCCACTTTGTGCTTTTTTTTTGGTGTGTGACGAGGATCTCCACTTTGTTGTGGCCAGGTTGGGATTGCTTATCTGAACATGCAGTTTCCCTTTGTGAGAAATGGGGTAAAATCAGGAGAGTTCAGAGTGATTGCTACATTGCCGATGACTACAGGTAGCTATAGTATTTATTGTTCAGTTTATCATTTGACTGTGTGTAACGACTTTGCAAATAACACAGTACAATGCTTCTTTTTTTGGAATTCAAGTCATGTTTTCCACAAGCACAAAGATAGAGGTGAGGCAAGGTAATGAAGTCAGTCAGATGGGAATCGGGGTTCATCACCCCATCTTCCACCCAACTGTTCAAAATCCACCCGAGGCAGCTACAGTAGGTTTGGAAACTGTGTCTCAATTGATAGATCATATTTCCCAGGTAAATGGTTGTTGTACATAGAGATACACAATATGTGCAATTACACACATGTAAACTAATGAGTATGTGCTTTTCTATTTGTGTAGAAATTTCTGAGTTACAGGAACTCCAAGAGGCCAACCCACGGCAAGTGCTCGGTGGTTCTTTATGGGCCTTACCAGAACAAGGAAATTGCGAGGGGGGTCGCTCACACTATGAACATGAGATTCGAATACACTGATGCATCAAAGCTGATAAAAGATTACCCAGATGATTCTGTAGCAGCCGTAAGATTTTTTTTCCGTGTCCCATATATTCAACCTGACAGCATATTCTCTTTCCAAAAGAAAAAAAGAAATCTTGACAACATAATTAACATTATGTTCTATTTTTTGTTTATCACATATTTTAGGTGGACGAGCTGTTTACAGGGAGGGGCCCATGTGTATTATTCATTGACAGATTTGATAATGTCGCACCTGAAGTAGGAAGAGGTTACAGCTACATCACTGATGTGATAGCTGCCAAGGTAGGCATTGGCAAATATTCTTCAAATTGACGGCGATTCACAGAGCTAATCTGATGTATGTTACAGCTTAAGCTCACTTTGGACGAGCCACTGGAGAACCTTGTGTTTATCATTGCAGGAGCAAGGTTAGAAAACTGCTTTCATATCTTCTTAATTATGTATTGGTGCATCTTAGAAAATTCTCCACATACAAAAACACTTCTAACCAAATGACTGAATTTTTTAAATTCATTTTTAAGGTGGAGATCCTTCGTAGAACCTGGTATTCATTCACGTGTGAGTGATGTACTATTCTGTGGACCACAAGAAGAACAGCAGGAGTGGGACAGTGTTGGGACGTGTCTCCGGCGCTTGATGACTCTGCCATACAAAGGGGAGCATAGCCGTTGGAGAACACCTAGTGTTGTTCTGTATGGATGGAACTCCTCTCAGATGTGGAACGTTGCCAGCTCGTTTGCTGCGTGTCGTTCTCTCAAGCTTGTGAGAGCTGAAGCATCACATCTTCTCAGGCTGTACAACCGCGTTGGACATGCCGCGGTGAAGATATAGCTTATTTGATAACTTCATATATTTAATGGAAGTTTCGATTGATTCTAACTCGGTCTGCTTAAAATTTTAGGTAGCAGACCTTTTCCTGAGAGCGACGTGTGAGAGGCCAGCCTTGTTATTCATTGACAGTTTCGACACAGTTGGAGATCACGCCATGATAAATGAGGTAAACCTATTCTTTTATTATATACTGTATACTGGTAAGTTATTTCATTCCTAGTGAGATGAGCAGCATGTCATTGGCCTACCCAGGATAATGACCAAATCATCCTAAACCCATTGCTCTCACCACTGGTGGAAAAAGGGCCTTTGGTCGCGACTAAAGGCCCGTTCACGTGGGTGCCAGGCGGCCGTCGGGGCGGAGGACCTTTAGTCGCGGTTCTTCTGGCCAACCGCGACTAAAGGCCGCCGCAGGTTTAGGGTTTTAGCCCCCCCCCCCCTAAACCTGTTTTCTATTTAATTTGTATTGTTTTATTTCTTTTGTGCTTTATTTTAATTTTGAAGGAGTTTCACATATTCTACGGTACTACATACATGCATATGAATGTACAATTTCAAACAAATTTGAAATTAGAACCAAAAAGAATTCAAGAGGAATATACAATATATATTCAATATCATCGGATGACCATATACAATTTTGAACAAGTTTCCATACATAATTTAATGCATATAAAGTTCTACGTCCTCGTAATGGTGTTCTCCTTTAGGATGGAGGACTTCCCTCCTGAACCATCCAGCTAGTTCCTCTTGAAGTGGTCGGAAGCGAGCTTCTGGACTAAGCATCATCCGAAGGTTATTCCTCTGAGCATTGGTATCACTCGGAACCCGCTCAGAGGTGTATCTCCGGATCATCTCACAGACATAGTATGCACATAGATTGGTCCCCACTGGCTGAATATCCTCACCATTCTTAGCCTTTGACCTTTTGAATTCTAGCTCTTTTTTGAATTCACCGACCTTTGTATCTACGAACCGTCTCCAAACCCTACGAGGCAAAGAAAATTAAATGAACAAGAGAGTTATTAGTTACTTGATATTAGGAAATGAACGAAATAGGCCGATCGATATAGAGCGCAAATGAATGAAAATAATTACTTCTGCAGCATTCTTCTCATGCCGCCCCAAAGCTTTGGATCCTTATTCAGAGAGTCGTGGACGAGACATTCTGAGGTGTCAACTTTAATTACTAGCAGAATCCAGTGGAACCTGCGGACACGATACATGCACAGTACGTCATGCATAACTCATCGATTAGCCGGCCACATACCATGCATGGAGTAAACAAAAGAGAATGTGCTCAAGACAGAAACACTCACCCAAAATGGTAAGGAAATAGAATATCACTTTTGAGTTCCTGCTTTGTAAGAAACTGCCACAGGTCTACCTCCATGTCGGCGGGGTGATGCGCCAACACATATCCATTAACGATGTGTGGGTCAATGAACCCAACATCATGGATGTTCCTTACTCTGCATTCCTTAATCTTCATTCTGCATGTATAATAGCGGACACAACAATATAGTTAGGACATATATATAGTGCAGGCAATATGAACGAGATGGGGTAGAAATAAATCACTTACAGAACGTAGCAACTGATGATAGATTTGTCGAGCTCGCGCAGATTGAAAAGCTGGAACAATTCACTCAGATGAATTTGTACATAGTAATGTTTGAAGTGATGCTCATATCTAACTTCCGCATAAATATATTCTTTGGCGTTTTTATTTTTTATGTAACCCTTGTACCATTTCAGCAGACTTTTCATTTGTGGAGGTAGATCCTCTTCCTGCGCAGGCTCGACGAGAGGCCCATTCTTCACATATGTAATTACTACCTCCTTCACTGGCGCCTCGTCGAGGCCTAACAGTTCACGAAGAGTAATACCTAAGTTGGCCGCTTGTTCTCTGGCACTCGTTACAGTCAATCCATGTGCTGCCGCAGCTGCTATGATATTGGGGTCATCCGGACCGGCGGCTTTCACTATAAGTGGGGCAATCGATTGTTTACTTTGTTCCCCGAGCTGGGCAACTCGTTTCCCGCTTTTTTTACTTTCTAATTCCGTTTTCTCGGCCTCCTCCAAGGCTTTGTTCTCCTGGTTCTCCGCTCGCTCTTTCTTCTCCTTCAACATGAGTGCCTGCCTACGAAGTTCACGTGTATAGTCGTCAGGCAGATTCTTCGCGGCTTGGGACGGTGTGCTCAAAAATGACTTAGCCCACTTCTTTTGCTCATCAGAAAATACTGGCTTGGGCTCGGGCTCTCTTTTCTTCTTGCAGTCCGCCTTCCATTTCTCATGATCAGCAGCCGCGGCCGCGGCAGTTTCCTCGGCACTACGTTCCCAAGGCCTTGTGGGGAGAGGCTTCAGTGATGGCTCCGGTACCTTTGTGGTCTTAGGTACATAAGGGTCCGGGTTAATAATCCAGGACTGCTTCTGCTTCTTTGCCGGAGGTGGATTGGGGGGCGGCGTCTGATCACCCGCCGGACGAGGACTGGGGGGCGGCGTCTGATCACCCGCCGAACGTTGTGGACTGGGGGGCGTCGGCTGACGTGACGGAGGTGTAGGTGAACCGCCACCACCGTAGGGGGGTGGACTTGTTGTCCTTGGCGCCTCGCCTGGAAACTTGATAAACTTCTTTTGCCATAGAATGAAATGGCGCTTGACATCTCCAAGTCTTTTCTCCCCTTCAGGTGTAGCAATGTCAATCTCCAGGTCCTCAAACCCTTGGACTATGTCCTCCACCGTGACACGAGCATAGCCATCTTGAATGGGGTTGTTGTGGTGGAGTGCTCCAGGTAAACATGGTAAAGCACTGCCGATGGCTACCTTCATGGACATGTTCCCGATAGGATAATACAGATGACATTCTTTCATCTCCTTTATATCGTCCACGGGGTAGCGAGGAGGCTCCGGTGCAGTAATTTCGACCACCAGAGGCTCCGGTGCAGTAATTTCGACCACCAGAGGCTCCGGTGCAGTAATTTCGACCACCAGAGGCTCCGGTGCAGTAATTTCGATCGTCGGTGCATCTGCACCAGCCGGTGGGGCCTCCGTGGAAGCCACGCTGCTTCTCCGCTGCTGGCTTCCGAGATCCGCTGGATGATCTTCATGCTGCACCCGAGCTGCATCTCTTTCGGCTACTAGTACACTCATGGTTTTCTTCATCACATCCATTTCCGATGCCAACCGCGCCACAACATCTGCTTCCCGATCCATCTTTCTCTTACGGCTTTTGTAACCGTACGGGTCATCGTTCTGGGGGAACCCTATTTTCCACGGAATGTGCCCCATGCCTCGTACACGTCCTCCGTGTTCAGGATTCCCGAGGGCTTTTGTCAGTGCGTCATTCTCTCTGTTGAACTTGATCTTCCCCTGTTGAGCATCCCTCATTGCGGTAATAAGGGCTTGGGTGGGTTTAATTAATTTGCCCCGGTAAACACACTCCCCTGTCTCCGGGTTCAGCGTTCCCCCATGCCCGTACCACCAGCTTTTGGCCCTTGGGTCCCATCCCTCCGTACCTGGACGGATTCCTCGCGCCCTCAGCTCGTTCTCCATCTTCTCCAACCTAGGCACCCAAATGCGATACCCTCCTGGCCCCATAACATGATTGTACTCCTTCTTAGCCGCATTTTCCTTATTTTTTTCGATATTTGAATGAACTGCTCCGATTTCTTTTGCTTCACAAATTCTGGCCAATCATGTTTCAGTTTCTCATATTGTCCTTTGAAATCCGGAGTCTTGTTCTGCTTGACAAAGTCATGGGCTAGATTTTGCTTGAATTTCCGGAATGCGTCGGCCATCTTATGAAGAGCGAACTGTTTGACTAGCCTCCTCCTCTCCTTGTTTTCCTCAATCTTGTTACCCTCCTCATCGAATTTGTTGTATTCCGGAGGTAGAACGAAATGTTCCATAAGCTTCTTGAAGCAATCTTTTTTTGTTCTCTTATCGACAAAAGTGAAACCAGCAATTCGTGCCTTCTTTGGCTTATTCCACTCCTGGACGGTGATCGAGACGTTGTCTCTAACAACGGCTCCGCATTGGTTGACAAACTTGGTGGCGTTCTTGCGGGGCTCCACCGGCCTGCCGGTTGCACTGTCGACAACCTCGATGGTGCATGTTTCTCCTTGTTTCATCGTCTTGGTTGCGCCACGCTTTGACGATGTACTCGATTGTTTCGACGATCCGGCCGAGGGCTAAAATAAGAAAGAGAGTCGCGCGCGTTAGTACACACATATTTATTCAAATCAGTTAGTTTGTATCACCAGAGGCTCAATGTATATATATACCTTGGCGCCGGAGGTGGTTGCTACTTCCATTTGAAGATCGTCGTTTATTGACGTTTGTTCGACATCATCTTGCTGACGGCGCCCTTCATCTTCACCGTCAAGGTTCAGATAAGAAGAGATATCATCTTCTTCTTGTCCGGTCGGCACATATAGAATATCGCCGTTTATGATGCCGAACATATGTGCTTCACCGTCCGGATCATAGTTGTCCATAATCGGGTCAGCTCTATCGTCCGCCATTATGTCAGTCCTGAAAACATGTAGTAAAAACAAATTAATTAAGTGAAGAAGGGGGGCGGTGGCGGTGGCGGTGGCGAAAGGGCGGTGGCAAAAGGAGGGGGCGAGGAAGGGGTGGGAGAGGGTGTCGCGGTAGAGCGCGAGACGGGGCGGCAGACGACAGCGTCACGGAGAGGGAGGCGAGGACAACACACATGTATAACCCTCGCCGTCCCCTCTCGATCCCAAAAAAACACCGCGCGCATCGCCGCCCCCCTCGCCGCCCCCTCTCCGTATATGCGCGGGGTCGTGTACATTTTTTTAAAGCGGGATCGTTGTACATTGACGCGCGGGGTCGTTGTATATATTGATTATCAAGTTTTACTTTTTTTGTTGTTAATTATCAAGTTTTATCTACGTTTTTTTTGTTAATTATCAAAATTTTACGGTTTTTTTTGTTAATTATCAAGTTTTAAGTTATTTTACCGTTTTTGTTAAACTAATTAACTAGTTAAAATTAAAAAGAACAAAAAAAAGAAAAAAAGAAAAAATTCCGGTGGCCCGCGGCGCCCCTCTCTCTCTCCACGATCTCGCTCTCTGTCTGAGACCGGTGGCCCGTGCGCGCGCGGCAGTACCGAGGCCGGCCGGCGGCGTTGAGGGCGGG